TGTGAGTATTGTCACCGCCCATTTTATGAGGTGACTATTAATATTGATTTAGACGAGCATGAAATATCACTATAAACCAATCAGAAGTAAAGAGTGGATTGGCGAACAAAGGTGTAAAGAGACCTCAGAAGTAAAGAGTGGATTGGCGAACACACAGATAAAAAACACTTGACTCCTAGGGGAAATCGACTTGTGCCACTCGCATTAACACATCTGTTAACGCTTTGGTTTGTATGTACAGTATAAACGTGTCTGGTATATATATGTGGGCTGTGTAATGCATTAAACGCTTTAATATTTCATGCATTTTGAACCATGCTTAGAAAGACATGCATGGTATATCCAATATTTCCACCATTCATCCTTCAGGTCAGTTTCCATGCTTGCGTACGACCAGCCTCACCAAGGCCAGGACAGTGAGTTAGTCTACAGCTGAAAAGCTGACTGACACAATTGTTAAAAAGGATTCTGAAGGCCTGTTCACTGATTTATATTGGTGAGGACGAGGACTTCACTGACGTTTTGAAAGTAACACGTTTTACCACCCACTGCACAGAAATGACTGGAATCCACCAACTCTCTGAAGTTAAAAAGGCCTCACATTTTCTCAAACCTTTTGCACATCACATAGCTAACCTGTTGTTGGTTGTTTTTCTGTACCAGGAATAGAAAAGCAATAGTCAGCCTCTAAAAGTAACCTCTATCACAAACTGACTTTAGTCATCAAATCTGTCCATGCTGCTTATATATATTTTTAATCAGTTTAAGTTTGTTTTCTGTAGTCATTTTTTCTTCAGACTCACTAGTTTCATTGTGTTTTGTTGAAAATATGCTTCCAGTGTCCATGTTTTGGTTGACTGTTTTCCCTGGCATTTTTAAGCCCCTTCGATTCCAGAGAATTCATTTCATTTCAAGTGTTTCCCACAGTCCTTCTTTGGAACTCGGTAACAAGGAGACTTCTTTTCTCAAAAATGTTTGTTTTGTGTGACAGTTAGTCAAACATTCATGTTTTAGTAAGAAATCTTATGAAGAACATTATTAAGATTCACTGTGTTTCAAGAGTGAAACTGTTGCTCCCATCACTATATTTTTATTTTAAAACTTTTATTTATTAAGAGGAAGAATGACAGACGTCTGAGTTTCGCTGATGCAACTTTTTTGCGATGACTCACAGTTGTTTCCAAATATGTCATCAGTACATTCTTCTGTTCAGATCTGTCAGTGTGCAATTTAGTGTAACTTTCGTAGTGTCTTTAGACCACCGTATATGTTGTATTGTTGTAATTTTTGTAAACAGTTAGCAGAGAACAATATTTCTGACTGCCATTGGATTGTCTTCTGCTGAGCTCAGGGCCAGTTGTCTCTTAGTCAAATTACATCTTCAAAGATGAGTTCATATATGCTGTTATGAAGGAAGGGAGAAATATTTATATAATGTTTTTCGTCTTGGATCATTTGAGGTTTTTCTACCTCTGTTTCTTGGAAGTCAGTGTTTTACTTGTTAGTAATAAAAAGCAACAGCAGCCTTTACATCATTTCTTAGAGAATAATGATGTTCCTGTGATAAATGTTTATAGTCTATGAGAATATGAGAGAAGTGGAACTGCTGTTATTATTGCTCCTCTATCAGATAATTACCAGCCTTGGCTCCATCTACTGTTCAGTGAAGACTGACGACCACTACGCTGTATATCAGCCTCCTTGGTTGTTGGCTGTGGGACAAATGCACATTCCACCCAGACTTCTGGGTAGAGTTTGATTTACAGGCATATTTTAATGTGAGCATCAGTAAAACGAGAACCCACTTGCTAATTCAGAAATGTGAAATGTTTTTATTGAGCTCAGAAACATCTCTTTTCGCTCTGGTTGTCTTTGAATTCAGTGCTAACAGTCTGTGGCATAAGAATCAGAAGTCAGTCTTTTAATTTATCCTCTTTGAGATACTATCACATACCGGAAAGATGGCTGCCAACAAAACCCATCAGAAAATTTTGATGACGTTAAGCATTGATTTGTCTGAGGATTTTTTTATTTTTTTGAGAAATTTCTTTTACTAGAAACTCAGTGCACTTTAGTATATAGTGACAATGGAGTGTTTATGTCTTCACATAGATGTAAGGGAAGATGTAACACGTCACTCATCATACACAATGGATTGATAACTAGTTGATGATATCTTCACAGACTGAAACCTCTGGACATCGAGTTCATGAAGCGGTTGCACGAGAAAGTCAATGTCATCCCACTGATCGCCAAAGCAGACACTCTCACTCCAGAGGAATGCCAACAGTTCAAGAAGCAGGTCAGTGGTTTCCACAGCTGCACACTGCTGCAGAAAAAAAAAAAAAGAAACACGCAGCACTTCACTAAAGACTTTTGTTTTCATTCTGTGGTCATTGGTTTAAAGGCAGGCCTCTTGGAGGTTGGCAGTTATATCTTCAACATTGTGAAAACTTGTCTGTAAAGTTTGCAAACATGGAGTTAAATAAATGGCTGGTACTGCAATTTTTTTATGTTGTGTGTCAGGGGAGGTGCACAGCGTAAAAACTGTAAAAACTGTCTCAATTACTGTGGGGACTATCCACTTGTGGAAAGTAGTTAGACACTAAAAGCTTTTCTTTACTGGTGGCACCAAATACTTAAGTAAACATCAGTAAGAATCTAGTACTTTCCATTAGGAGTACGCTGAGTTACAGTTCTACTGAACTGAAGTTCCTTCTAACATTAAGGTTAGACAGCTGGCACAAAAGCAAGACAAAAACATACTTTTTTTATTGTTGACGCTAAAGCTAATGCTCTTAGCAAAACCCACTGGCACTGTGCACATATCATAACTCAGTTATTTGCTACAACTGTGCTTTGAGTTGATCATCTGATATTTCCTCCTGTTCTGCACCAGATAATGCGAGAAATCCAAGAGCACAAAATCAAGATTTATGAGTTCCCTGAAACAGACGATGAAGAGGAGAACAGGCTGGTGAAAAAGATCAAGGTTGGTCCTCGGAGCAAAGTGGCACATAAATAACAAACAAAACGACAAACAAACTCAGTTGTTTGTGCTCCTTCTAACTTCTAGGACAAGTTGCCGCTGGCTGTCGTAGGAAGTAACACCATCATCGAGGTGAACGGAAAAAGGGTCAGAGGGAGACAGTATCCCTGGGGGGTTGCTGAAGGTAATTATATCTAGAAAAGAGGGGGGAAATTCCACGTGAGTAATGTGATTATAACTGAGGCAAAAATATCTTTAATTAAAATATGTGCCAACCAATTTGTTTTTTTTTTCACCTTCTAGTTGAAAACTGTGACCATTGTGACTTCACCATTCTTAGGGACATGCTCATCAGGTACTGATGTTTAAAACACCCTCTAATTACAGGTTAGGTTTCGCTCAGACATCACTGTAAACATTTTTGTTGTCGTCCCGTGTTTTCAGAACTCACATGCAGGACCTGAAAGACGTGACAAACAACGTCCACTATGAAAACTACCGCAGCAGGAAACTGGCTGCTGTCACCTACAATGGAGTGGACAACAACAGGGCTAAAGGACAACTGTCCACCAAGTAAGTAATAGACAGAACACACTTCCAATATCTGTGGCTCTAAATAAAGCATTCATGTTTTTTTTTATTACAGATTAGGTCAAAAGCTTGTGATAAATAGAATCCCCATTATTAGGTGTTATAACATGACTGAATAAAGCTAAAGGATTATCTCCTACGTGTTCAGCGTTTCTTCACCCCTGCGTGTTTTAAAGTGGAACAATCAATCTGGGGCTTTGCAAGGACAGGGTTCAAACACCAGAGCTGCGACTGTTAAAAAAAAACAAAAAACAATACCAGTCACGTCAAAGGTTACACCACCTTCTCACAGGTTGAACTCTGGTAAGATGGTGAATGAACAAAGGTTACACCACCTTCTCACATGTTGAACTCTGGTAAGATGGTGAATGAAATGAAGTGTTGAGGTTATTAAAACAGTTTCATGTACGGTATTGCCGTTGGCTGACACTGATGTACTGTGATCCTTTTGCCTCAAATGTTGGCACTCACAGTAAATGTCCTTAATCTGTTTAAAAACAGCCATTTACATGAACAATTTATAGTCAGTTCAATGAATATAATGTATTTTATATTTTCCGACCTTTCTCCCTCTTAATGTTGTCGCTCCATGGTCAGTGACAATTTTCCACGCTGCTCAAGTGTATCCGCCGTGTTCTGTGCCAGCTTAAATTTAAGTCTTCATATCAAATTGGTCAAAGGGATTGCAATCCTGTGTATATGCTTCTTGGTTTAGAACATTTCCACACTAACAACACGATACACATGGGGGCGGCGGGGTTACTAATGCTCAGGGAGGTTGGTTTAAGTTCTGCAGCAAAGGACTCCGATCACTAAAGCTTTTGTAAATAGCCGAGGCCAGTCATTAGTATTCTGATCCCTCATCAGAAAAAAATGAGATCTGTCAAGTTTTAAGACTTGAGCTGAGGGTCAGGATATCCCTAAATCTAGAATAATTTCCAGTTGATGCTTGGAACAACTCTTGAAAATGTTTTAATAATATTTGACCTATACATAGACAGTTATTCATAAACTATTTCAACATCTTGATTGGCTGTGGTTTGAGGGTTTGTTTGCATATGACATGGTAGATTTCTTAAAAGCAAATGGATGCATTTCCAAGTGTTATCCAAAATGTCACCAGTACATAACAAGCAGGTTGATCTTGTTGGGTTGCAGTCCACTTACTCTGGGCGAGTTCAGGTGAAAGATCATAATGTAGTCAGGTATCAGGTATAAGGACCCATTGTTCTTTTTTAGAAAGATAAAATTGTAGCTGTCAAAAAAAATGTCTACATCAAAATCCTTTTGTCCTTCGTCATGAAGGACATCATTTATGTCAGAGAGACAACTTGTTGTAACTGGTCTTAATCGCAAAGAGCAAAGATTAGAATTAGCCAAAAGATAATTCGGTCCAGGAATGGGAGGCAGCAGTAGGTGACAAAGCTCAACATGAGAGTAAACACTTCCTGGTTGGTCAATACCAAACGGCAGTGATGTGCTCTTCACTTGCCTGTGTCCACATTTTTAACTTCATGATGATGCTGCTCTCCACAGCTGAAGAGAAATATCACGCTGCTAATGCTAACACACAGCTAAACACACGACCATCTGTGCTAATGTATTTCACAGCCAGCTCACCAAAGACCACACTGTTTTTTTTTTTTTCTCTGAACATTTTTCCATGAGTCACAGCTCAGGACTAATACAGTAGACTCTGTTTATTTTAGTGCATGATCTCATTGATGCATGCCATGTTGTGTGTGACTGTGTGTTCTGTGTTTTGTTTTGTTTTTCTTTTTAGATTTGACACAGTTGAAGGAATGTAAGTGCTCATTTTTATTTTATTTTATTTCTCTTTTCATTCTTTTCTTCATTTCCGCTTCACTGGCTGCTCAGCTTCACTCGTCCGTTTTTCCTACATCTTTGAATATTTTCCAGGATGGAACAGCAGGGATCACTGAATTGCCACACCTCCCTATGAATGTAGTTCTTCGGTTGTGTGGTTGTCACTGTTTCCATCCTCTGTACATGAGGCGTGTCAAGCGCTTACCAGCGTTATAGTATTTGACATAATCTAGTAACTGCTGTGGGCCGGTTTCCTGTAGAACTGCATTCTTACTGGCCTGTATAAAGTGTGGCAAAAAACATGAAGTGAAATAAACAAATAACACGAACATAACCCACTGCTGTGAAGGATGGGCTAATCGAGAGAGAATCACCTGCTCAAACTCTTACTCTGATTAGAACAGTAAAGGCCACTCTCTGAAGGGGCTCTCCAAAGACATTGAGCGTGTTTGTAATTGGAAAAGAATCAGATTTGCGGCATGCTATTGAAAATGTAGCCTCTTCGCACTGTAGCGGCCCATTCGCTGTGGAAGACAAAACTTTATTTTTAAATCTTTTATAATGCATATTTCTCTTTCCCCCAGAAATTAGGGGATCTACAGTACAAATCTACAAACATTCTGAAGAATGTCATTCACAACAGGTCACAACCTGAAATTGAGTTTATTTCAAACAGGTTTGGTTGAAAATAAAAATATTTTTAGAATGCAACTCACCATAGATTAACGGAGATATGACAAAACATGT